AAAGGGAGTATGAGTTGAGTACTCATACTAAGCTGCGATATACTGTGAGTACATTGGCGTTTGGATTGTTTGCGGGTATTATGCTTACTAGACAAGCGATGAAACCTCCTGGCTATGTTAGGGAAAAGGAAGAATAAAAATTAGGTGGAGTGGGCATCTTGCTAGTTTGAGGGTGGGAAGGGAAAAGGGGCGAGCACCCTGAAGCACTTTTCCTCCAGTCATGCGTCCATGGAAGAGAGAAGACGCTTGTTAAAGTATTTTGTATATCGAAAAAGCAGTGCTATAAATAAATGTAGTGTTTAAAGACTAGCCAAAAAGAGGATAAAACACATACCCAACACCAGTGAATGCGAAGAAAGAGAAATCAGACACTGCCAACAAACACACATCCAACGCATGGTCGCCTTTCTTCAAAGAACTTGCACCCCATCCTCCCCATTATTGCTGTCAAAAGCTCTTTGAGTTCAACAGCCTTTTGCAAAAAGATGATCACCAGTGTTTGCTCATCCAGTTGCTATTTAAAAGCACGATGTTCTTTCTTTACTGAAAAGAAACCACTATAATTTAGCATCCGACAACGATAAAGCCTTGGGAGAAACGGGAAATCTTGCTGGCCATTCGCTGCACTCGCATGACATCTTCCCTACATCTAAGGGAATATAAATGGCCCGTTCCAGCCAAGTGTTGAAGCTCCCTTCTTACCATCATTCTCATTCTCCACATTTTATTTGCTTAAACAACCAGCGCCTACGAGTTTGTCAAGTTTTACGCCATACTATGCCTGCTACCATTATTGGGAAGAATGACTTCACTTCCACTGAAGATATATTCAGGTTTGTTAGTGGCAATCACCCTGGCAAGGATTACATCGTTTCATATGCTATCAATTCCGATGTTGGAGATCATGTCACAGAGATGTTTGCAAATGAATGTAGTGATGATGATATTATTGTCTTGGTTGTTAAGAATGAATCCAATGGGGATCTCTTTGATAGTGTAAAAGGGAGTGATGGTGAAAGCATCGTTGGACTTTGCAATCCAGTGACACAGGTAGCCTACACTATGGAAGGAGCTAAGGTGCGTATGCCAAGTAGAATCCTCGCTGCACTTCCAACAGGATGTTAATAGCAGAGAATAGATGGGAATCATATCCCTCTAACCGCTTTGTTGTCAAAGCCTTTAACGGTTAGAAATAAAGCTATGCATTAGTACGCTTAACAACAGATTTGTAGATGTCGTGATGCATACTTTACCATGTTAGTGGTTTACGGATTTTGCTTACAGCTGGCAAACACAAAGTGCATGTCGTTGTGACTTGCCTCCGCACTTATTTTTATTATAGCCTTTGCTAAGCATTTATTTTGACAACTAGTACAAATATACTAGTAGCAACAAATATTAATATCATGAAATATATGTCACATATGAGCACTATGGATTAGGGCGTCATAGGTGATATCAATGGCTATCATTGACGTTGATGATCATAGGCTTAGTTTAGTATTTATATGTTCACCCGCCCAGCACCTAGGCTGGAAATCGGGGAGTTTATTAGCTCTTGTTTAAAGAATTTATTGTTGAAAAGCCAGCCTTGTAACAATATATATGGACACGATACACGTTGCGTTTGTCAAGGCAGATAGCATGAAGCATATACTAGTCCTTACCCAGCCCAATCATAAGCTGTGTGGGCTAGTGTCCTGACAGCACTTGTTATGTAACTTACAACTGTCACTCCACATGATGGGTGCTGTGGATACATACCCAGCACGCTCTTCTTTGAAATAACTGTAGAGAAATCATTAGTGTGAAGTAATCCGATGCAGAGTATATTTGGTGGGTTGAGCATCTCGTTAGTTTGAGGGCGGGAAGGGAAAAGCACGAACATCTAGCAAGAAAGTGCTCATATTTGTTTTCTGTGGAAGCCCCTTTCAAGGAAAAGGTGCGGCCACCCAGTCAAGCAAAAGAGGTCTGGATTTATTAACAATGATGTCCATCAAAAGAAGTGAAAGAACTGTGACAGTGCCAACAATGACGACTAGCGTTGCTAACAACTGTCATACCTGGCTCCAGTTATCTACGTGTATTTATGCTGCGAGCATCTGACGGGAGGACTGACAGAGGCGCAGGGACAGTTATAGACTGCGTTTTGCGAATACCGAGCTTGCTGGTCGTGGACGCAATCCGGTTCTCCTTGCCGCTGGCTCAGCTACGGTTTCATGCTTTGGAACTGTTGGTGGCTCTTCAGCCTTGCGTTTGGCTGGCGTTGGTTTTGGTTTCGATTTTGGCTTTGTTGCTAGTTTAACCGCAGTGGGATCCACGCTGTCCACTAGATCGTCAGAGAACAGCATGCCTTGAGCCCAGCCGGCATACGGGCTAAACAGCGTGACTATAAGCGCCTGAGCCAATTCGTACGCCTTCGTCGACGGAGACTTGAATGCGCTGAGCTGCCGCGCAAGCTCGCGGATCCGCTCTTGCTTATCTGATGGCAGCAGCATACCCGCCAACTCGCCCTCCGAACCAGTCAATCTGCCGACATACCGCTTTTGCGCAACTTGCCATATATGTGTATCTATAGGCACTGCATTTGCCTTATCTAATGACATTAGCAAAACGCAATCCGCGACTTTGGGCCCAACTCCCGATAGCTTCATCAACTCGGCCCTTGCAACCTCTACCGATGCATGGCGGAGATTCTCTAGATACGTGTCTCCCAACTGCGCCAAGCGCTCGACAGTTTTGGCGTAGTATCTGGCTCGATACCCAAACCCCAGATCTTTCATCGTCTGCTCCACCGCCGGGTCCTGCGCAATCATCTGAATGCTAGGGAAAGTAAAGAACACGCCCTTATCAGTCTCGATTTGTTGACCGTATTTGCCACACAGCTTGTCTACTAGCATCGTAATCCTTTTGATGTTGTTGTTGGATGATGCGATGAACGTAAACAGATTCTCCACTATCGGTTGTCTCAGAATCCGTACTCCGATCTGTGTCTGTGCTAGATTTTTGAACTCTGGGTCTACTTTGGTCCACTGCTCGCAGAGAGTCTGTAAACTGATATGGAGTTGGAAGTAATCGCATAAAAGCAGCTTTAGGTCGTCGTCGGATTCGCTGGCAGCGGGTAGTCGACCTAGTGAACGGAAGAAGACGCTTGTGTTTGTTTGTTTCAGATCGATTACGTGCCCAAAGATCGCGCATGTCCACTCGTTTGGCCCTGTGCATTTCCAGCGAAACGCTTGACCACATATCAAAGTCGGATCAAGGCGTAGTTCGACTGGCGCTACTCCCAAATCCTGCCAAACCACCGAAATACCGTCGTCTGTCTCTGTCGCTATTGTCATTTACGCTGATATAATATAATAATAAAAAGTGAAAATATGTTGGATGATTTTCAAGGAGGTCAAAAATTTTGTGAACACGATTGACTCTATGTTCTTACGCCTTGTATGGGTACGGAACTGAGTGATAGAGAAGAAGGCGTGTTTATTAAGAAAGGCGTAGAGTCAAAACTTTTATTAATATATCTGTTGTCCGTGGTGTCTTGACTATGACGCTTGCTAGTATTGTTTTGTCAGTGGGGTGATGGAGTAGGCAACTCGCTGTTCTTTAGTGCGCGATACACCTTGATAGGGGACGCAATGCCAACGTAGTTACCACCGCCGTAAGGATCCATGTAGACATATCTTTTGAACTCAGAGTCGCTAAAATATGCAGTCGGGCCTTCAACAACAGATGCATAGTTATAACCTCCATGAAAGGTAGAACCCACCCGATGACAATGATAGTCATCTGAATTGTAAACCTCAACTTTTCCGGCTAGGTTTCTAAGGGAGTCTCGACGAGCTGCATTGCAAAGCACAAGCATGCAGCTGAGAATGGTGAGGACAACGAAGAACTGCATAGTGGTAATTGCCAAAAGAAATCTGTGAGTGAGTGAGGAAAGAGCACCAAAGGTTGAGGATGGAGAAACAACAGCCACCAGACGGCAGATGGAGAGTTTTTATACCAAAAAGAAGCAGGCCCAGGTACTCAGTGGGAAAATGTTTTTTCTCTCGGATTCTAACACTCCACATAAGGGGGACTAATGTTGCTAACCCCATGCGGCTTCAACATCCGAGATTTTCCTGAAGATTTGTCACAAAGACGGGATTGACAACAAAATCATATGCATTGAACCCCTAGACCCAATTTCCTGGCGATAATTCCACATGTAAATACAAGCAGGAATGTCGACAAATCGTCAGACATTTTTGTACACACTTGGATTTGGCCCATGCATTCGATTACACTAAATTCACACTACCCTGACTCGATTGAGGCCATTGGTGGACCGTAAAAGCTGGTCACCACTGATAAGCATGATAGTATACATGCCTGCATCGGCATGATCGACGTTCACACAAGCCAAAATACAAAAAGGCTATTGGAAAATCACAACTGGGAAAGCTGCGCTGCATGCACAGTAACACGCTCAATGGCAAATGTTATAAGACCTGTAATGCTAATATTGGTGGATAAACTGCACCACATGTAATCTGATGAGCATGAAACTCACCTTATTTACAGGTTGCATAGCCATCCAGCTAAGATTTTGCATGTAGGGGCCAAAAGCTAAATTTCAAAGCAAGTTCAAGAGTAAAACCATTATTTATGTTTTCTTTTTATCTATGCACACAGTTTACATCGAATTGACACGGCACTCTGGTAGTGATCAGGCAAATGTAGTAAATAAAGGCTAATAAAATATAGAATAAAGGCGGTTTGCAATAAGTGTCAAAAGTCAAGTTCAAATAGGTTCAATTCAAGTGGTCGGTAAAGCTAAAAAGTCATCAAACAAGTCAATCGGGGTTTTCTCGTCTAACCCCTTGCAGGGCGGCTGATCCTGGGTGCAGAACTTACTTCTGGCGGCCTATTTAGGCGCTGTTCCTCGGCTCGACGTTGATCAATGATGAGTTCCATCACAGAATGTCAAAAAGTCTGAGAGTTAGCTCAGAAAAAGAGGTCAGATGGCCGAGCGGTTAAGGCGCCAGCTTCGGGTACTGGTCACGAAAGTGGCGTGGGTTCGAGTCCCACTCTGATCAAAATATTTTTTGTTTTTGCTCATACAAAATTTGGAGCTCTAATGTTTGCACGTGTCACCAAAAAGAATGTAACAGGTACTCTTTTTTTCTTATCCCTACAAGAATCCGCCTACTAAGTAGCTTTTTTAATTTGAAACTTAATGTTATCAAATATTTTTTTGCCGGACATGGAGTGAAATGTAGTCATGCCTCTTCTGTTTGTTGTAAACTTGCTTATGCATTCTATTCCGAGTTCTGCAACCACGCCACTTTCGTGACCAGTACCCGAAGCTGGCGCCTTAACCGCTCGGCCATCTGACCTCTTTTTCTGAGCTAACTCTCAGACTTTTTGACATTTGAGGTAAACTGTGCACATAAATAAACAGAATTGAATACTATTATTTATGTTATTGCTTGTGCCTTGAACTCGGCCCGAGCTGCAATGAGCCTGGAGGGACGGCGAATGCGAGCAAGAGCCCGACGAGTTGAGAACTACGAACGCT